AACTGTGAAATTTTGAATATCTGCGAATGGAAGCTGTCCCGCCTAGATGCCCAATTGACGACCCTTGCTCAATTTTGTGTTGGTGTTTATATGAACCCCAAACTGGCTGAGAGAATCATTAAATAAAAGTCTTTCAGCTGAAGCGTGGCAGTCCCCTGACCGAAGTTACAACGGACTAATGCTTCTACCTTGTTACAGTTCTATGCCCCTCATTCTGAGTGAGAGTATGAGTAATTCCTCGATGATGTTGAAGGTGGTATGCTTAGTACCGACTACAGAAACCATCCATCATTCTGATGGTTGAATGTGGATTGGATGTGCACGTCGAGGCAGACATTAAAAATTGGAAAGGCGTGATAGGAAAGAACTGTCCTTGTGATTCAACAATATCGGCGTGAAATTATTGCGGTTTTTTTGCAAATGACTAACCATCTGTTATTGAGAGTTTCTTCGAATATTCAGACTTCCATCAGTATACCTGGTTGGTGAGGCTTGTGCACAGAAGTGTCCATGATCCGTTTAATAATCATATTGCATCAGTTGCAACGCTCTCTAGTTGATGTTCGTTGTGGGAGAAGTGCAGAGCTGTCGCCTGATCATACCTTCTTATTGCCAATCTCCGCCAGACACGACGGAGTACCATGAGAACACCTAGCTTCAGATCAGAATGGGGGCAAATCTTGGAAACAACACTGTACAACGATTTGAACTGATCCCAGTGATGATCGCTGCCATGGAAACTGAATGGAAGCTCTTAAAGAATGGCTTACTCAAGGCGTCCATCAAGTGTTGCAGCTTAAAACGGGTTGACCTTCGCTTTAGGTCACAAACGAGTTGCATTTACAGGTTCAGCTTAGTGTCACCGAGAAGAAGGCTGTTTTCAGGGGATGGTTTGGAAGCTAAGAACATTCATTTTGCATACAGTATGAATAAGCGAGCAAGGCGTCAGCGAAAAATGTGGCAAAAGCCAAAGCTGATTTATGGAAAAAGTTCTGTGAATGGATGTACTCGAATTTTTAGAAGCAATCAAATCATTCTGGCACACCATCTGCGGCCTCTGAGTTCTAAACAAGAGCAGTCTTAGAATTCTGAAGGACAGATCCGCACGCTTTCTTTCCAACGTTAGTGACATACTTCAGCGATTGAAAGAGAATTTTGAGGAGCTCTTTAATCCGAGATATCGCAGGAAGACTCGTCTGAAGAATATCATTGAACGTATATTGATATTTCAAAGACGAAGTCACAGACGGCAAAGCTTTTGGTTTCAGTGAAATTAATCCCAAAATGTTTAAATCTTTTGGTCACGTTGTATCTGGCACATGTCCGTCTAATAGGAGAAGAAGCCTGGGGGACTGAAGAACGAAGATTCTTGTTTTCCTGATGAAGCAGGCAGACAGCATTTAGTGCTGAACTTATCAGGGCATTACCTCACGGTATAAGTCTACAAAAATTTGTTAGGTATGCCGCGTATTAGACTGACTGTAAGATAGTAGAAAAACAGTTTGACTTCAGGTCAGACTGACTCACCTTTGGTCAGATTTTCCCCTTATGTCAGATTGTCGAAAAAATCGTTTGTATTCGTTCATCCAGGAGATATATGTTTTGTTGACGTAGAGAAAACCTTTGGCTGGATTTCGCTCAAAAACTGTGGGCGTACTTGCAAACATATGGAATCGATGGACAGTTACTACGAGCCATCCAATCACCGTTTGGTGACAGCACATGTTGCGCCGAAGTAAATGATATTAAGTCGAGATCTTTCAACGTTGGCACTTGTTCTTTGCCAGGTCTGCGTCCTGTCCCCTCTTCTGATTGTGTTACTCATGAATGGGATAATCAGGAGCAGCCACAGTGATGAATGTATCAGCATGGAACGTGTGTAGACAAGAAGTTTGCTCTGTGCTGATGATCTTGTTTTTATGGCATCTTGTGAAACTGATCATCTCTTTCTGAAAAGGTTGGCAGTGCAGTTGAAATCGTTCCCTTCTGGTTCTCTTACCCACTGCGCTCTGCGGATAAACTGAGAAGCAGTGAAGCATGTGTTAAAGTTTTCTTAACCCGGTGTCCTGTTTGCTTACGCATGGAAAATAGGTGGAAGAATATGAACAGCGAATTAGAATGACCAGCGGCACTCTGCGTGAACTAGCCCTAAGTGCTGTGTACACGGCAGAGCTGAATCTGAAGAATTCTCTGTCTGTGTTCAAGTCGATTTTCATCTGCTTGTTCACCTACAGTCACTGCTTCTCTGGATTGAGAATTCACCGATGCAATATTTTGGTCACGTGTCTCGATTGCCTACTGAAAGGAAGATGAAATTCCTGCTACTTGCCCATCCGACCGTCTGACATCCTTTTGGACGGTCAAGAATGACTTGGGGAAAGTATCTCAACGGTTCTGCTCTAGGTGTATATTTTATTCTGGTGAAGTTCAAGCGCTGGAAAGTTGTCTTAAAGATGTGAGATACTTTGTTACGTTTTTGCTTTCGCGACCCGAAATAGCAAGCAGTCATCGAAGTTGACTGGCTGACATCAAAACCTTAGATAAAGCTCCGTCTGATTTCATGGGTTACTGGAAAAGTTAAGGTTATGTTTCTGGATCCAACACCTGATCATCAGCTTATATGTAGCGTAGTTATGCCCAGCTGTTCTTTCTTAGTATGCATTGGGAGATTCATTTCGTTCTTTGAAGCTGGTTTGCTGGAGGTTGTTCCGTGTTATTGATTTTCAGACAAAGCTACAGTTTCCCATGGAGTAGGTTCGCATTTTCCTGTTCACATACCTGATTTTCTTTAAACTGAATTGCATTCAGATTGGTGTTTCGTCTTTTTCGCGTATGATGTTTTTTATGGGTGCTGATTATTAAACTTCAGTGTTAAAGTACGAGTTTTATTGAACTAACCACCTAGCGACTTACCTGTTTCTATTGTACTACCATTTAACATTCAGCAGACGTCCGTTGGTGTGATTGTCCGTAGTTTGACCTTCTGGCTCACACCCACATTTGATTGAGACCTAGAATTTGCATATGTAAACATGTGTTTGTCCTCTTATGCGGCGAAAGGAGGATCACATTATCCACGGCACTTTGATGACGAATGGGAATTGAAGTTATTTAATTGAATTATTTATTTGGAATAATTATTGGTTCA